TGTATACCATATAAAAGGTTCTATCAGATTATTTCTTATCACCTACTTACTTATAGCACAACTTTTCTATTCACTACAAATAACTTTTTTCAAGAATGTACAGCAAAATATTAATAAAATATAGAAAATAGAAGGCAAACTAAGTATTAGGTAGGTCTTGTTTTTCAATGCTTTCTGCTTCTTCTACTTCATGTGATTTTTCATTCAGTAATACAAATTCTCGAGTGCTGAAACCGAATTTCAATACATCTTTCTCGCGCAGCTCCACGAATCTAGAAGATTTATTTAATCAGAAGACCAACTGCTGCGGATGAAAGTTTGAAAGATTGATCAACTACCATCGATGTTCTCACTTTTTATCCAATTTACGAGAAAATAGAAATTTGAGTGCTAAAAAATTTACCTTTGTGGCTCAATGCGCTCATTATTCAAGTATGTACCATTAGCAGAACCAAGATCTATTATATAAGGGCGCACACGTTTCACTGCAGCTCCACCTGGTAAATCTATTGATACGAGACGATACTGAAAAACAGCATGCTGTTTAGAACAACTAGGATGATCAACAGGAAGATCAGCGATTCTGCGGTCACGACCAATAAGATATGCCGATTGACGATGGATATAAAGTACCGGTAAAGGTTCATCACCCTAGAACATAAGGATGATAAATGACAAAAAACAACGGATGAGAGATAGAGAATTATTTTCACACTTTGGCAATTTCTTACAAAAAAATATGTTTTTAGCTTCTAATGATTCACGGAAAATGCAAAATTCTTTGTACGAAAATGCATATAGATTACTTTGAAGGGATACAGACGCCAACGCAGTTTTGGTAAATGCGAATCCGATGGCTCATTATACTTAATAACTACCCCTCGATATGTATTAGTATCTTCAGCCAATTTTCCACTAGGTTCGAAATTGGGTTTTTCTTTTTCTTCTTTGGAAACAGTTTCAGCAGCACTAGTCCATGGTTCATCTCTACAAACCAAGAAAAGTTAAAGGACAACGTCAAGTGGAATATATTTCATTTTATTTATCACAAAAGAAAAGAATTTTTAGGAAAGATTTTTTGATGTTTTACTTGACTTACAAATCGTTTTTAATACCACTTTTCAGTTTTTCTTCCTGGCTACTGTTTGCTTGTCTCTGACTACTTTTCTCATCGAACTCGCGCTTTATTTCTGTAAAAAACATGACAGCAATATTCAAGTACAAAAAATAAAAAATATCACGTTTTCATAAATGCACGTGATTCAGAAATGTCAAAAACTGCTGAGTAAAAAATAGAGTGAGTGACAAAGAACTGATTGTTCTTATTAAATATAACTAAAATGCCTCTAAAAATTCTAAATCAATATTTCTACTAG